CTCAACACTCGTTTTCTAGTTCACGCGAAAACTTACACAACACACTCGGTTTCTAGCTCATCCGAAAACCTTACAACCACTCACAATGTAACAAATATAAATTTTTCTCTACAATAGATGAGAACTCAATTAAGCATAACTCAATGGTTACAATCTCTCACAACCCTAATATACTATGTATGCAATACAATAAGCTCAAGTGGGTGTGTGTAACAAGAGGTGAAATCAATCTAACTCAAAATAGCAAAACTAGCAATAAGAATATGAAAATCAATAATAAAATGTACTAGAGAAAAGAGTTAGAAAACTTCTCTAAAACACAAAGAAGATGATGAAGAAGATTGAGAAAGAATCTCTCAATCTGCAGTGAAGCTTCCTCCTTTGTAAACAAAACCCAAACTTAAAACAACCAGTAAAAACACACTTAAACCCTTGTTTTAAAAACTTATTTAAAACCTTCTTTTATATATTAGAACTGAGATCAATGGGGGTATTTATAGCCTCCCAAAACCTCAGCCAAAAACCCAAAACAAATGACAAGAAAAACCCCAGCCAACGGTAACAAAAATAGCCGTTGGAAAGAATCTGATTGAGCGGCGGTCGATCGAAAAAATTCGCGGTCGACCGTGATCCAGATCCCAATCTGAGAAAACGAGCAGAGACTTATTCGGTCGACCGGTGAGGTCGACCGATGAAAATTTCGAGCTCTCGGTCGACCGCGGCGGTCGACCGACAAACTCTCTGTTGAAAGTTGATTTGCTAATTTTAAAACCCTGTTTAAAAATATCAAATAAATTCTAAAAAATATAAAACTTTGGAGAATGATTGTAGATATGATAATAAACATGCTACAATAACTGGTTTCCAAAAAAGACTTCCCAAATGAAAAATATCATTATTTTGCAAAATAGTCCAAAACATGAAAATGTAAACATATGAATTTTGACATTTAGGCTAAATCATGTTTTGAAACTTTGCACAATGATTTTGTAGTCTTAATAAAATATGTATATGATTATTGTTAAGTCCAAAAACTAAGAAAACAATATTTTCACAAAATTGCATATTCTATGCAATATATACTAAAACACAATAATAAATATGAAACATGTGATTTCATATTTATAAACATGAAAACTCAAAAACACATGTATGCATATATATAACTATATATATGCATAGAAAGCAAAACTTATGTATATATATATAACTATATATATACGAAGAAACCAATAAATGTGTGTGTATATGATATTGAGCTTAGAGTATCTAACACACATAATATAAAATCTAAACTAGATTACCCAAGCTATGATCTTGATCTTCAATAAGCTCGACTTGGTATACATGCGGATGAAGCTTGAACTTGATCTTTAACTAGAATTGCATAAGCTTCACCAACATTCCGCCAACCTCCTTTGGATATGATCGTTGAAACTCTATTCCATCCATCCTCCAACATATTATTTGCCTAGAATAAATATAAAACACAAACACTAGACAAACAATATTAGATGTAAATTGTTTGTAAATCATCATCAAAACAAGAAGGCAACATAACCGCCCCCTTAATCCGCTCCTAAGTGGGGCGGAAATCCCTCAAATCGTGGAGGGAAAACGGTTCCTGTAACCGTTCAGCTCGTGTTTGAACGAGTCAAACGCCCACGTTGGCGTTCAGGACCCTAACTCCGCGTTTTAGAATAGAGACGCGGAGTTGGGTACTCGTTGGGTGTTGAAAAACGCGAGGGCCACTCGCGTTTTGGAGTCTGAAGGTTGGAAACGCGGGGGTCGCCTGCGCTTCGTTTGCTGAAGGTTGGAAACGCGAGGGTCGCTCGTGTTTTGCTTGTTGAAGCTTGGAAACGCGGGGGTCGCCTGCATTTCAGGAATTGAAACGCGAAGATGAATTCCGCGTTTTTAGAAGGAACCAATGACTTATAGCTTCTTCTGCAGAGCGTTGCAAAGACTATTATCTTGTAATCTTCATCTTGGCTCCTTAAAAATATGAGAGTCGTCAGATTGTGACTCCCGATGTTGATTGTGAAGACTATTGATTAGAGCTTTTATCAGTTGTTGTGAAGATCGTCAGATTGTAACATTCATCGGTCTATGTGAAAGTCTTCAAATTATAGCCTTCTGGAAGTCGTTAGATTATAACTTCCATCATCGGTGTTTGATGGGGGATCAGCTATCTATTTTGATTTTTTTTTTGACAGCCTACAAGCATCCAACAACTTCAGAATAAGAGCTATACATGCATATGAATTAGCTTTAACAGTTGGTCATGTAGTCCTAACATTTGGGACCGCCACGCTCCAATGCCTTAAGAGCTTAAACTGTGTAAACTACAGTAAACGTACGAGTATAAATCGTGTTAACGCCGATCAACGCTCTACAATAAAGGTCGATACCGGTCAACGCATCAGTAATCTCGCTAAAATAAGGCAAATGATGATTCCAGGGAGTTCAAAGTCATCTCAATAAAAAAAGCTAAGTTCAGAAACTTACACATCAACTTCAGTTCAAGATTTCGACAACGGTCAGATGATAAACGTAGTGCCAGAAGAACTTCGTCTATTCGACAAAATACTGAATAGACTGAAGGCTGAAAAAGTCAAGAATTGAAACAATCCACAGGTCCTTCTATGCAATCTCCTCGACAAAATACTAAAGAGGTTAAAAACATGGCCTATCTTATCCAAAGCATTCCAAACTCCTCTATAAAAGAATGAGCCTGAAATACTTTGGAGGGGGTATCTGTAGGGGTCTAAAAATCCCTATAGGCATCTACACATAGCTCGAGACAAAGAGAAGACGATGAACGTCATTATCCAAGTCGAAGAGAATTATCCGAGTCAAAGAGGATCATCTGACACTGACAAGCGCATGAAGCGAATCGCCGAACCATTGATGACGTGGCGACGAACCACCGGAACGGCCAATGTCAAGTGACTCGCGTGCTCACCGGCCACCGCCAAGTGGCCCACACGCTCATCGGCCACAGAACCGGCGAACCAAGTGGCCCGTGCACTCACCGGTCACCTTCATGTGGATCGTGCACTCATCAGCCAACGTCAAGTGGCCCGCGTGCTCACCGACCACCGCCAAGTGGCTCACACGCTCATCGACCACTGAAATGGCAAACCAAGTGGCCCGTGCACTCACCGGCCACCTTCATGTGGCCCGCGCACTCATCAGCCAATGCCAAGTAGCCCGCGTGCTCACCGGCCACCGCCAAAGTGGTCCACATGCTTATGGCCAAGCCACCGAAACGGTGAACCAGTGGCGCCCGTGCACTCACCGGGCCCACCTCCGATGTGGCCTGCACACCATACATCGACGGCCAAGTGGCTCGCTGTGCTCACCACGGCCACCGTCAAGGATGCCCACGAGCGCTCATCGAGCCACCCAAAAACGGCCAACCATAGTGGCTCGTGTCGTCACTGGCACGCTCTATGTGGCCCGCGTACTCATCAGCGGACGCAAGCTCCAAGTGGCCCACATGCTGCATCGCCACGCGAAACGGTGAACCGAAGTTAGTCTGTACACTATCACGTGACACCTCTATGTGGCCCGCGCACTCAATCAGCCAGCTCCAAGGGCCGTACGCTCCACGGCCACGGCGAAACGATGAACGAGTGGCGCTGTCTGACGCTCGTGCGTCATCGTGCCAAGTGACGCCGCCGCGTTCATTGCAACGCATGAAGCGAAATCGATGAAAGCATACAAGTACAAATGACGGCAAATGCACGTAGAAGGACGAAACTGTTCAAGAGCCCGGAACATACTGTACCGAAAAAATCCCTAACGGCCGAGTCGCATCAAAAAACGACTCGCAGTCAGTGGCTCGATGAGCTCGTGGGCTGGTACGAACTGGTTCGGCCCAGGCCGAGCCACCAATTGGTGGCTCGGACCAGGCCGAGCCACCAAATGGTGGTTCGTGCCTGAACCAAATCGGTTTGGTTCGTTTTGCACCCGGTTCGGTCAGTTTTGAGCTAAAAACACGTTTTGACAATTTTTGACAAGTTTTCACGGGATTTTTTCTGTTCCAGAGGTTCCTAACTGCCTAAATGTCATCTCTAAATGTGGTTATATGATTGTTAACTGAAGATAAGGCAGAATCTATCGTTCTTATCCAAAAAACCCCAACCGAAGCCTATGAAATTCAGAGAGCGAAGTGTTGCCAAATTGGAGAGTGGAGCATGAATTTCAGAGGGTTAGCAGATCTTGGCGAGGTTCCTCAATAAAAAAAGAGAGAGTTTGAAAGATCTGAGACATATTTCCCTCCATTTCTCCGGATTTAAGCATGGTCTTAATCCCGAAAAGAGTCGTAATCTCGCTTGGTCGGGATTACCACTTCTACGAATACTTCCTTCGTGAAGTAGGAGCTTTGATTATCAATCTGTCAACCGGATCTGATCCGCGGCGGTCCACAGATATTAACGTCCCGGCACAGGTGAAGTTCCCACGCAAACAATAGGCGATAAACATCTATTATGTTTTGTTTGAAGAAATTGTAATCTTTTATTTTTATTGTTTAAAGAGATCTTATAAAGAGATCAACTTTTTTTTATTTGAGTTTATTGTAACGACTGAAGTTGTAATAGATTCGATGATAATAAAAACAACAATTTCTGACTCAAACAATTATCGAAGAAATTCAAAAAACGCTTTGAGTATTCTTCTAGATTTTAGTTAATTTTGATTAGACTACAAGATGTGTAATTTCTGGTGTGTTGTATGTTATTTTTTTAACAAAACAACAAACCTGTTATGTTTCCAGCCATACAACAGGCCGTCGTCGCTGTCAGAATGAAACAGTCGCTTCCTTTGTCATCTATCAGAGAAGCAAACGCGGCTAAGTAATCTATCTGACCTCGCGAATTAAAACACAATTTTTTTTTCGTATCAGCGTCAGATCAGATGACCTGTGTACATATCTATGCATCACGAGCTACGCGCGTGACAATAATAATTCTATAAATTTGACCGCAAGGTCCCTCTCATCTGCCCACCCACACTCTTCAAGTAAATCTGTAGTAGTTTTCTTGAGTTTCCATCTTCTCACTTGAGTTCTTAGTTCTCTCTAGAACCTCTGGTCCTCTGCCATGGCTGACGAAGGAACTGCCACCTGCGTCGACATCCTCTTGGCCATCATCCTCCCTCCTTTGGGAGTGTTTCTCAAGTTTGGATGCGGGGTAAATATATAATAAATCTTTTATTTTTTAGTTCAATTTTTTATAAAAAAAATAAGCTACCAGGTTTATAAGCGACAAAGTAGTTTTAATATTGGGATCATTTACTAATGCTAAATGCATAGTGTTCCTAATCTTTCCTAATAAAGAGATATTAGTCTTCGATTTATCAATCAAATGTCATCTCCCCTTACTTTTGCTCATGAGGAGATTTTACCCTTTGATTGATAAATCAAAAGCTAAGATTCTATTAAGAGATATTAGGAGCCTACTAGTTAGTAGAGGATCCCACTCCGTAGTTTTAGTCATCGCCATGATGAGATTTCAGGCTCCAAGGCGTCATTTTTTTTAATTTATTATATTCGTGATTGGAATTAAGGGATATCGTAAATTAAGTCCTTAGTTGTTATCACATATTTTGTTGAGTTTTATTTTATTTTTACCTTTCAAATTAATTTTTGAGATTAATTCTTCATTTTGTAATCTACACCCCTCAAATTCATTAAGTTGTCTTACGTAAACCCCCTTTGTTTGTAATTTGCAAACTCACATGCATCAACTAGTTTTATCTAGCTCACTATTTCTAACAAATATGAAGATTTGAGGATGTAATTTTAAATATGATGATTAGGAACCTAATATAAAATAGAACAGAAGTTAGGGTTTAATTTGAAGAAACCCTGAAGTTTTCCGAATATGAGAACTCAAATTTTCAAAAGCAAGATAGATCGTGTTTTTAGATTTTTTTTTAAAATTATATTTATTTATTTAAGTTGTCAAATACGCGACAGAACACTATAATCGGCAACAATTCATTCGCTGAAACCCAGTTTTCGAGGACTAGAAATTTGAAAAGTTATTAATTTGTTTTCAGGTTGAATTTTGGATTTGCTTGGTACTGACTATCCTCGGGTACTTGCCTGGAATTATCTACGCCATTTATGCTATCACCAAATAGAAGAATTCCATTAAATTCTCATTCAGGTACTAGAAATTTTCATTTCCCCCCTTTTTAATTAGCTCCTAATTGTTTTTCACATTATTATTTTTTTTTTTAGAAAACTAATAATACCTTCATTGTTTCAGGGAAAAGGAGTGGAATCTAATTGCTCTGCCTTTGTCGGTGTGCTGATGGATTGATCCGTTTTTTTTTTTTTTCCTGTATATGGTCTTTTGATACCTCTTATCTATTTCAGTTTTTTTTTTTCAGTTTTTAGTTTCAGTTCATGAGTTGAGATGTTAATTGTATTATTACTTTGTTATTCGTTATAATTTAAGTTAATGTAACTTTTGTGTTTGTTGTTCGTGCACTCTCAATGAGTCTTTTATAATAACATATTTAAAGAATATAATTTTGGAGTCCTCAGAATGAATAGATGTTTATGAACAAGGACATAGAGGATCTCTTTTCATTTTTCCCCTAGCTAATCAAAGAGGTGTTTGAACGCGACGCATCCGCCCTAAAAGAAATGTTCATGCACATAAAGTGTATAGGGTTCTGATTTTGGGAATCTTATCACAATAATAGAGCACTAGGAATTAGAGCAAAGAGAAAAAAAGTAGTCTCTTAGAGCAACTCCAATGGGGAGGCTGCAAAATGCAGTGGGGAGCATATTCTTGGGCATATGCTTTTTTAGAGGGGTAACTCCAACCACCTCCTCTATATGAAGCTCTATTTGCATTTTTAATTGATTTCTTTTATAATACTTTAAAAAGATTTGAAAATATAAAAAATATAAAATGTTAAAAAATTATATGAATTAATTTAAAATATAAAATATATTATAATTTAATACTAAAAGTATAATATATAATATACTCATTATTTAAATAAAAGTAATTATCTTTAATAAATTAATAATAAGACATAGATAAGAGTCTTTAAATTTTAAAAAGCAGAAAATATAGCATAATATTTGGAACAACCTTCACAGCTACTCCGAATGATGAAATTTTATATATTACATTCAGCGGCATTACATAGAAAAAGAAAGTACATGAAAATAAAGTACATGAAAAAAACTAAAAATCGGGCAGGCCATTTCCTCCATATCCACCGCTTCTGTAGTCAGGTATTCCGTATTGACTTCCTGCATAACTATATTCAGGATTAGGAATATCAGATGAAGAACCTCCGGTTGTGTTTCTATTTAAAATCTCTTGTTTTTTAATTCGAAAATACTCGCGTTCCGAAGGATCAGTAATAGTATCAAGATTAATCAACATAATCTTACTTTCCTGGCGTTCCCTTTGAATATCTAATTTTTTCTTTTCGTTTTCGGCCCTTAACATCATAATCTGGTGCATTGTTATTCTATCATTTTCTCGTTCTCCATGACTTTTTTTTTAAATATCGACAATTTCTTAATTGCTTTTATTGAGAGTTTCCAAGTCGAGGTTGGATTCAGTTGCTTGTCGCCTCCTCATCTTCTCTTTCTTCCTTCCTGTCGGTCGACTTGTTATCATATCTTCGTCATTATGAGTATATTCCTCATTATCGTCATTTAAGTCGACGACAGGAGAACTTGAATCTGATCCCTGAGATGAGCGGGACTTTGAAGTTTTGGAAGTTGCAGGCGATCTGACACTTATATTTGCCCATTTCTCTGCATCTTTTAAAATTGACCAAACATGATCAAATAGAAACCCCTTTCTCTCTTCTGGATCTTCTGCAAATATTGTGTTGCGGTTTGTGGACACTAATGGATTCATTCAAGAAAAGAGCATTATTGTCAAGTTTTATGCACAAGATTTTACAAGTGAAGAAAAAGAGAGTTTGAAGATGCAACTGAAACATTATGAGCATAATGTAGTCAAAGGGTCAGACTTCAAAACTCTTTTAACCATTTCTGAGTTGTGTCAATGGTTGGTAATGACTAATAAATCTGCTACATACGATCTCATTTTTAGAGTGATCGTACTTGTGCTTACTCTTCCAGTTTCTACTGCTATTGCAGAACGATCATTCTCAGCTATGAATATCGTCAAAACTAGGCTTCGAAGCAAAATGGAGGATGCTTTCCTCTACGACACATTAATGTTGTTTATTGAAAGAGAAATTGCTAAAAGTCTGAGCATTGATGCTATCATTGAAGACTTTGAAAATTTTAAGGAACATCGAATTCCTTTTAGTTAGAGAAATTTTAGTTATAAAAAAATAGATGATGCTTATTTGACTATTTTCTATATAATATTTGTCTTCCTCTTTTGAAATATTTTGAAGATATTGATGTTGGCTATTCTACTCGTTTTATTTGGGTTGTGGTATATCTCTTGTGAATAAAATTACATTAAAAAATTTTTTTATCTATCTTTTGTACGTGGCCCCCCCAGAACTAGAATCCTGGATCCGCCCCTGTGTGTTTCTATATAAAATCTCTTGTTTTTTAATTCGAAAATACTCGCGTTCCGAAGGATCAGTAATAGTATCAAGATTAATCAACATTTGTGGGAAAGACATGGAAATGAAGCTATGTAACTTTTTTTACTAATGAAATAATGACTTTTTTATTTTTTTAATTACTTGGTTCTTGAAATTTTATATTTCAATTAATATTATTCAATATTAGTCTCATTTTGAAGGTATCGACAAAACATTTCCAACCGTAAAATTTTTATTTAAAAATAATTAGTAGAAATAAACTTATGTTGATTTTAAGTTGAATATCTAAAAATAATTAGTTAGTTAGAAGGGTGTTATTGTAAATTTTTAGGGGGAATAGTGGTTTGGAGGGGGGCTGCATATTTAGAGCAAAAAGAGGGGGGGTTTTTGCAACCGGACTCCAAAAATTGGAGTCCGGTTGGAGCTCCATGGGGCTGCAAAATGGAGTTTTGCAATCCCATTGGAGTTGCTCTTACCCTCTAAATTTCTAAAAAAAGAAGGAACAAAAAAATTACAATAAGCAACGATTTGTTGGTCAAAACTATTGTCTACAAGAGAACGAGCACAGGTGTTTACTTTAGTAAAGCTGTTAAGGAGTAGTTACCAGAAATCTTATCTGTAATTTGTGATATTTATATTTAATCTGCGCTTGTCTTCTAATGTTTGTGATATTTATGGAGGAAGGAGACAAGTATGGTAGTGCTTTTGTACTTTAAAGTGATTAGATGGAATTAACCTTTTGACAATATTAAAAAGATCATTCCGGATTCACGATATTTCCAAATCTTATCCACGTGTAGGAGACCAGGAGCGGAACAAGGAACTTGAATTGAGGAGGGTTTTCATACCCACGAGAATAGCAGCCATCTCATCAAATGAGGTTACACGTGTTGGATGGATCAGGGGACGCATGTATCATTTAGCGCGCGCCAGCCAGGCCATGGATGGTCCTATTCCAACCCGATTGTGGAACTGAAGTTTTTATGGCAACTAGACATCATTAATAAAGGTAATAAGAGCTGTAAATGATCAAGTGCCAAACAGTAGTCTAGATTATTAGTTGTTACTTGTATTCGTTGCTTAAACCAATAGCAAAAAGAAAATTGAAGCTGTTGTGAAAATTCCAAACAAATAAGGATAATCATGCTATTCTCTCCTACGCTACTTCTACACTACGTTGCAAGAGATTGAGAAGTATAAGCTCCCTTAATAAGCCATTAATTCCCGCTAAAAATTTTCTTAAACGGAAAAATCAGATGTGAGTAACTTGTCTTTCTGCTTAGTTTCTACACCACGTTTTTCTATTCCAAACATTAAATTTTTTTTTGAAGAGAATGGATGACACATCTTTCATTCAGTGTAGTTATCACTACTCATTTGAAACTCCTAAGACCCTGCAACAATAGCTATAAAGGACCGAAGATCTCAAAACCAACATATAATGTTTTCAAAACTACACTTTAAATAAATAAATAGGAAAATTTAGATCCTCTTTACTACAAAAAAGGTAGCACCATTATTTTTAATCATCGTCATTAATTATCTAGATGATTGTGATACATTCTAAAGCCAGACCTCACTGTATTTCCGTGCACTAACCAACTGTTCATTGAAAGAGGACTTTAATTAACCAACTGGTCATTGAAAGATAACTTTAAGTAAATTATAAGCATCAAGGTATCGGTTGGAATTGAGTAAAAAAACAAGGCGCACAAGACAGCTCTACTACACCTAACTCGGCGCAAGATGACACTAGCCTTATCTCCTCCATTTTGTGGGCCCAAATGCGCTAGGATTTTGTGTTCAGTAGGCTTTCGTTTTCATCCACTAGCACCATTAAAAAAAAAGTTGATTCCCTAACAGTAGGGCTGTCCATCCGGGCCGGCCCAGCCCGACCCGGCCCGGAAAACCGGGCCCGGGCCGGGCAAAACCCAAGCCCGGACCCGGGCCCGGGTGGTCCGGGCCGGGCCCGGGCCCGGGCCCGGGCCTGAGCGGGCCGGACATCGGGCCGGCCCGGTTTGATTTTTTTTTAGAATTTTTTTTTTGTTCTTTTATGTAAGATTTATCATCTCAGAATTTCAATTGCAAAACTATTGCATTCTTTTTGAGCGGGCCGGACACCGGGCCGGCCCGGTTTGTTTTTTTTTTTAAATTTTGTTTTTTTTTATTTTTTTAAATTTTAACAAAACCATAAATTATAAATTATTATAAAAAATGTCATAAATTTTATTAATAACTTGAAATGAAATGACATAAATTACAAGTACAAAAAATGATAAAAATAACTTCTTTATTAATAATCGGTAAATCCTTTACAAGTATAAATTTATTTCGAAATTCGTCGCATCACAATAGATGAGTACATCCCAACTAGGTTGGCACCTACTCACCCATATAACTATCATTTGTAACTTTTTTCGAAATAATTTAATTCAAATTTAAAGCTAAGAAAACAAAATTATAATTTTATGAATATTATCTAATCATTATATCTATCTGCTAGTCCTAACTCTTCAAATTTATCTTCAATCATAGCAATCCGTTCGATGCCTTGTGTTCGCTTCTCGTATCTCCACCAATCCTGTAAGCACATCACCGATTGTACAGTATACGGATCTAAGCATGTCCTGTGGTCGTCGATCAAACGTCCTGCTGTGCTGAAAGCGGATTCCGAGGCTACAGTCGAAACCTGCACTGATAGTAAGTCACGAACCATGGTGGAAAGTATAGGATATGAAACTGATCCATATACTTTCCACCATTGCAAAATATCTAAAGCATTTCCTTGACATTTAACTAAGGAAGCAGATAAATATTCATCTATTTCAGAAACATCTAATCCTGATGAAGTTCCAGATCCACCAGTTAGTTCAGCTACCATTGCATACCTATCAAAACTTACACTTTTACCTCGACCTGTGCTCGAAG